AGAGAGCTAGGATTACAGGCGTGAGCCACCGCGCCCGGCCTAAATACTTAAATACATCCTTTCCAATATTTATACTTCTCAATGTCTAACCAAATCAATCTTGCATGCCTTAATAACGGTATATTATTCTTTTGATGTGTTGCTAGATTCCATTTGTAATATTTTATGATCACTGCCTAGATTAGTCTACAATTTGCTTTGTATCTCTTTGAAAGGTTTGATATTGCTGTTTTTGCCGATTCCGCAGCTTTTTTCCTTTTCCTATGCTTTGAAACAGTTTAACTAGCATCAAAATGATCTTATCTTTTAAGACTGAAATAATTCACCTGTGAAACCATCTACGTTTAGTGTTTTTAAGATACTTGCTCAATTTCTTCTTCCATGGTTAGTGTCTGTTTGGATTCTCTGGGGTAATTTCGTTAATTTATATTTTCCTAGTAATCATTTGGATTTATTTTAAATGATACTACATAATTCTCTTACTTGCATACAACCTTCAATAATTTCATCTCACTACAAAGGAAAAATATGAGATTGATATAATCGACATTGTTGAAAACATAGCCAGAATAAGTTAAATGTATCAAACTAGGGACAAAATACTGGTATACTGCTTTTTGTTGAAGGGTTTTAGAAAGAAACCTTTAAATAGGGCTTTAAAAGTAGTGAACTGCTGGTAGGGTATTTGTATCCAGAGAACTGTAAGTAGGAGAGAAATTAAATGGACACTACTATGAACTGTTTAGAAAACACATATTTCTTGCTATATGATACAAAATGGTTTTCAATTAGATAATTACAGTATATGTATTATTTTAAAAATGTAACTGAAAAAAACAAAATTTTATAAAATGTCTTTACTGTTACTACTCCAGTTATCTAAACTACGAGTAAATACTGAAGTACAAAGTGGTATCCGTCTAATTTATTTATTAGAAACATTATTATTCAAACATTTAATGAGCACATACTATGAGCCAGACACTGTGTCAGTTACAGAAATGGTTCAGACATGGTCCCTTGGCTCAAAAAACGTATTCCCCTCATCCCTATTTCCAACATGACACACTTATAATGGTTATATACAAAAACTTCAAGAAATATAAACACCCCCACTAGAACTTTGCTTCACAAACCAGCAAATACAAAATAGTTGAAAATCAAACACACAACTATTAATACAAATATCCATAATTTTTAAAATATTATCACTATTCTATATTAATACTAAATCCTGACATCTCAAATTGGATTTATCTTCCTTTCTATGATAAGGCTATAAGTAAAGAGAACTCTAGAACTGCTCTGAGACATCTAGAACACTTTGAAAAGAGGGTCAGGAAAAGGCAAAAGAAACCTCTTTTCTTCAATGTTTAACAAAACAGGGTATTAAAATTTCAGTAAGGAAGGATCGTGAGAAAATCAATAAGCTCACTTTAAAAAATATTATACATCAAAAGGATATTTTGTACTACTATTAGAATGCTAATGAATAACCAACAAAAGATAAATATTTATGTTATTGTTCCTTGAAAAAAATCTTATCTATAAACAAATCACTATAAACACTACCAAGGTATAAGCGGTAAGAAAGTTGGAAGTACTCTGATACTGATATGGTATAAACCTACCTGTGCACATGATTCTTCAGGTGTTTTGGCACTAACTGAATAAAGTGCTGGGAGATCTAGTCTATGCACAGAGAATCTTTCAAGAGTGTGCAAAACTGCTGGAGCAAGGTGAGAAGTCTGACCTGAGCCTCGTTCTCCAGACAGCAATAATCGTGGCCTGTATGAGGTTGGCTGATGATATGGTGACCTGTAATACATGTTAAGACATAATGACTTGAAAACTATACATTCTGAAGATCACTATGAAATATAAGGCAAAATATTTATATTAAAAGAATGTACTT